TTTTTTTGTTTTTGTTTTTTTTGTGTGTCATTATTGTCACTTTATTATTATTGTATATGTTGGGGTTGCTGTTTGGGGACTTGTTAATTGTCTATAAGTGTTTACAATTCAAAACCCAATAAAAATATTTGAATAATAAAAGAGAGAGAGGGAAATAATAGAGAGAAAGAAAGAGGTAGAGCTAACAATCACATGAAATTTACTGATTTGTATCACATGAGTGAAAACATGAACAAGTGCCAGTCACACTAAACTCCTCCAGGTGGCGCTCTCACCTGAGGTCAAAGGTCAAGGATATTCTGAATATAATCCATAATATTTTAACCACCCAATGTAATGTTTTATTGTCCTGTAGAAGACACGAGTCCGAGTGATATCAAGGAGAAGTACTACACTACCCACAATCCTCAGGTGTAGTAGAGACGACTCTGATTGGTGGAGCTCCCTGTTCCCGTGGAATGTTTACCACAACCATGTAGTTCCTTCATTCTTAAAATCATTTTATACAGTCTTGTACCTTTGACTCTGTTTTGTTCTGAATAAAATCTTTGGATTCATGTTGAAGCTGCTCGACCTGGTTCCAGGATTTAAACTCTTTTAGAGAAAAGAAACCAGTCGTTCAGCAGACGCTCACTGTGACGCTCACTGTGACGCTCACTGTGACGCTCACTGTGACGCTCCAGTGGAAAACCATACTTTAAACATCTCTGGGTACAGTTACCATGGTAACAGGCGTCTCTAGAAGCGCTCTGCAGTGACCTGCTGAGACGTTCACCTGAGACGTCACATTGCACGAGTCCTCCTCGTATCAACAGTCAAGATGGCCGACGCAGGAAGGTGTCACAGCGTGTTTGGTCACATGGTGATTTGAATAAACTCACCCTCCTTCTCTGCCGTCTCTTTGGACTCCGGGACCTCGGCCAGCTCCTCCCGAGCGTCCTCTGAGCCGCTGGGTGACACCGAGTCGTTCTCCGAGCCTCGCCTCCTCCCTCCTCTCCCCTTCTCCCCCCCTCCCCCTCCGTCGGAACTCTTGTCCACTCGCTCCTCCAGGACCTGATGCTCTCGCTCCATCTTGGTGATCTCCAGCAGGAGGTCATCAAACGACGCCTCCACAATCTTCGTTAGCTCACGAACTGCGAAGTTCAGGACCTGCTCCATGACGGACTTCAGCTGGTCTGCACGAGAAACACAGACATGCACAAAGTTCACCACTGACAAAAAACTACAGACTGATTTATACCTTTACGATATATATNTGTGGTCTCATGGTGGAGCTGCACCACAGGACCACGCCTGGTGGCTGGCTACAGTAAGAGTCATAACCCCGCCTCCTCCATGTTAGCAGATGGGACTTGAAACTTAAATGTTTGAAGATGTTTCTGTGGTTTCAGCTCGTTCTCTCTGATGTTTGATGTGTTTATTTATTATATAAAAACAAGACGTCATGATTGACAGCTGACACTGACTCCTGATTGGCAGACTTCAATTAAAGCTCAAGATGGCAGCGATATTTTGATGGCGATATTTTGGCTTCATGTCTGGAGGAGGTGGAGACGTGTCGGCGTCTTTATTTACAGTCTTTGATCCCAGTGTGTGAATCAAAGTACAGAACTTGCTCTGAAGTTCTGGATCGAGACGCTGCCTTGGTTTCGAGTTGATGTATTGTTTTTTCAGTTCTACCTCTCTGCCCGTAGGTGGCGATGGTGCAGACGCAGCTTCAGTCTGCGACCAAGCGGCCGATGGGTCAGCAGAGAATGAAGCGGCCGCAGATAATGATGCCAAACCCTCCACCACGACCACGGGTGATTTAACACAAGCTGCTGTTTGATGATCAGTTTCAAGTTCTTATAACAGCTCAAGGTTAACTTCCTGTTTTCTACTAACAGAGAGACACATCTCCATCCAAACCAAACTGGACGGCCTCGAGATGCTGGTGGACCTCAATGGAGGTAAGTTCACTTCCTCAGTGACTCTTCAACATTTGGAGTTTGTCAGCGTGTAACTTTTGTTGCTCGCAGTCTCAAAGACGACGGTATAAATATCTCTGAGCTTTATAGAGCTGATTGCAGTTAGCATTAACAGCAGATCGTACTCGACAACAGCTACATGTTTTCAGACAATAGATGCCAGAGAATAAAGTGATAAGTTTCTCTCTCAGTTTCATCCTGACTCCAGGTCTGCAGCTGGAAATGTCTTTTGTTGCCAAGCAGGTTCACACATACAAGGAATTTGCTGCTTTGATTTGTGCAAGTACAAATCACAGTCACAGGCAGGGAGCTCAGAGCAGACCACTGATCGGGCCCCAGGCTTTGTTGATGATGTCAGCATCTGCGTTATTTAAAAAGGAAACACATCAAATCTTCTTATTGCACAGATGATAGGATTCAGCTGACGATATTGTTAGTCAGGAACAATTAGTGAAGTTTCCTAAAGACAAATATGACGTCTTAAAATGTTTTTTGTTTTACTCCAGAGAGAAGAGTCAAAGCAAGGAACTCTTCTTCTCTGTAATGAATCCAGAAAATAATCTGCAACTGAAACAGGAATGATTTTGTGTTTTCACTCGTCAGCGGGACGCAAGTCTTGTCCTCTGTGTCCGGAGGAGAAGTTTAAAGCCTGTTACAGCCACAAACTGCGTCGACACCTGCAGAACCTCCACTGGAAGGTCTACGCTGAGTTTGAAGGTAGGAAACAGAAGCACACTGATGTTGCTGATGTGACCATAAGCAAAACTTAAGCTGCTTCCATTTCTATGGAGGTTCTGTATGAGAGTCAGTGTCTCTGGACGTGTTCTGGATCTTCTCCTGCAGCCTCTAGTAAAACATCTGGAAAATGTCCGAGTGAGTCCCTGAGAGAAAACATCTGGAACCTTCTCAGTGAGCGAGTGAACGTGTCTCTGAGGTTTCTAACACGTGACCGACGTGACACTGAAGAACACAAATGTCTCAGGATGAAGAAGAGGAGCCGTACATGTAGAGGACGAAGACGTCCACTTGTAAAGACGAGGAGGTTCCAGATGTTTTGGTGATGAGGGCCGACGCCCTTAACTTTCATTTATATGCAAAATGAACTGACACACACACACACACACACACACACACAC